TGTATTTTTAATATTATTAATAGGACTTACAGCCATTTGACATGGACTTTTAAATAATCATACATTGCCTTATTGTTGCTGTTGTTATTATTATTATTTTTGTTATTATTTTGGAAACAGGGTCTCATGTAGTTCAGGCTGGCCTGGAACATACTATGTGGCTGAGATGACCTTAAACTTCTGATCCTACTGCCTCTACCTCCCAAAGGCTGGGAGACATGAGCTACCATGCCTTTGCTGCATTTTTAGAAGACTACAAAACTTTAAATGAGATGCTTGCTAAATATTAAAAAAAAAAAACAAAAAAAAACCCCCCATATTTTGGTGGTGTTTTGAGACAGGTTTCATTTGTCCACCATAGCCTGCCTCTGCCTCCCAAATACGCACCACCATGCCGGCAAAACCCACTCAAAATAATGTTAGTAATATGATCACGGCAGGAGACTGCGAAAAGAGTATGGGGAAAAAAAGTGCTAGAAGGACAAAGAGCCATTCTTACTATTAACATTGTGGCTTGTTTTCTTTACATACATATCAATATACTATCCTTTATCTACACACAAAACATTTAAAACAAAGCTGAGCTCATCCTGCTTCTTTTCCCCAACACCTAACACCCCAATACCTAACAACAGATGGTTCAGTAGAAATTCCCAACAGAAATTAATTTCACAGGAGGCATTTAGTTGCTTCCAGTTTTTAAGCAAAACAAAGTCTTATTTATAGTTAAATTTTCTGTACTTATGATAATTTCTTAGAAAAAAATTATTGTGTCAAACTATAAAACATTTAAAAGCGTCTGATAATGTTTTGAGGAAGGTTATATTGGATTTATTCCTCCCAACAGTACAGCCCATCTCACTACTTCCCCGTCAGCACTGTTACCATTTTAAAGTCTGTTACTCTACAGGTGAGAAAGTCTCTTTCTCCCCCAACCAAATTCAAGTCAGAGTCTCTCCCGCCCCACCCCCAAACTCAAGAACATGACCTTCAATCTAAAAATAGAAGAATGGTCACACCTACCCTGTTTCTTGAACATCAATACTTTAGACAATAAAGCAGACTGTTAAGTCAGATTAAGAATCTCTTCCAATTTCTTGAGAATAACCAAAGAAGTAAAGGTTCTTTGTTTACTACCCCACAGTCTACACCACAGTAACCTAGAACTGCAATTACTGAATGCAAAACTGCAAAACAAATGTGTGAGAGAAAACTAAGTTGTAGACTAGCCTTTCTCATCTCTTTGGCATCAGAACAGATTATAAGATAAGCCAACAAAGGGATGCCTCAGTGACCGAGGAGAAACAAAGTGTGGCATCTCTCTTGTACCAGAGTTCCTTCAGTGATATTTAAAGTAAGGTAGCCACATCTTCAGGGCAGCACTGGGGTGGGCGGGGTGGGGGGAGAGGACGGACCCAAAAATCAAGACAAAAGTGACCTCAACAGAGCCCTGTACAACCAAAAAGTGATTATAGCAAAAATAAGATCATTCTGACTTTTAGAAAATATTCTTTATTCAGTGTTTGAGTAAGATCAAAAGCTACAAGATTCTATTTGCAGCTGATGAGTGCAAAGAGAAATATTAACATCAGTTATTACTTGGCTAGTCAAAGTGCTTAAGGGTCAAATTACTCTGTGACATACCAATTGCTTTGCTTGGGCTTAAGAGTTTTGCAACAAAAAGTATTCTATATGAAACATTGTTTGAGCATAGGGCTAGCATGTGAAATACCAGTAAGAGCTGACTGGAGGCTACGCAGGCCTCCAGGTTCTTTTAGGTTGAGCAGCTGGTTACCCTATGCAAGGACCTAGCATCCAATTAACTCCTATCTTGACTTTTTGGGGTTAAATAACTTTAACTCATACCCACTATGCAGAATAAACAGACACTTTCTAGATGGTCTGTAAAACATAAACAGACTCCCTTCTCCAGCAGAAATTGAGCTGAATGAAATCCTAAGAGAAACAATGGTTGCTGTACACACTGTGTACTACATCTGCTGCGTGGAGTTTCCATTCCAAGTGTTATTTTCATCTTCACCATCATCTTGAGTCCTCAATCTGTATATTTTCCCTTCCTTCTTAAAGTCTTCCCCTCGTTTTTCCAGCACTCTTTTTCGAACTGGTTCCCTGATATGAAAAGGAGGGAGGAGAGGGACGATGACTGTTATCCTATGGGTGAGAAAGCCTCTTCCTCCCCAGCAAATTCAAGTCAGAGTCTCTCCCACCCCCACACCCAAGAACACAAAAGTAAAAAATAAATCTTTAGGGCTGGAGAGATGGCTTAGCAGTTAAGAACACTGACTGTTCTTGCAGAAGACCGGGATTCGAATCCCAGCACCCACATGGCAGCTAACAACTGTTCATAACTCCAGTTCCAGGGTATGCGACAGCCTCTTCTGTCTTCCGCAGGCATTGAACGACACGGGTGGGTGCACTTACCTATATGTAGGCATAACACTTGTATGCATAAAAAATAAGTAAAATATTTAAAATAAATAAATAAATAAATAAATCTTTAGCTGGGCATGGTGGCACATGCCTTTAATGTTAGCACTGGGAATCAGAGGCATGAGGATCTCTGAGATCAAGGCTAGACTGGTCTACAGAGTTCCAGGCCAGCTAGTGCTTTATGGAGACCCTGTCTCAAAAAACAAACAAAAATCTGACTTACAACCAAGAACAAATAGAACTTTCATATTTGAAAACAGGAAGGAAACAGAGTAGGTTTAAAGAATTTTAGTAACAAATGGAGAGAGGGGGGCCACAGAACCTAAAGCCTTACCCTTACCTCTTAGACACACATTCACCTAGCCTTCTGCCTCAACCACAAGTCTTTCACTCATTTGAAGAAAGTTTTAAAAATTCATGTAGCATGCTATTCCACATTACAGTAATTATAGAGTTAATTATTTCCACCCACTGTTCAACAAGACTTCTAAAATTCAGTACTTAAAAGCCCAAATTTTAATAACATCATAAGAGTAAAGAGAAGGGCTCAAGTGATGACTCAGCAGTTAAGCACACTGACTGCTCTTGCAGAGGAAGTCAGAAGGCGGCAGCAGATGCCCTGGAACTAGAGTTATACACCTAGTTGTTAGCTGCATGACATGGGTGCACTTACATACATGCAGGCAATACACTCATACATACATACACACATACATACATACATACATACATAAATAAATAAATAAATGTAAATAAGTAAATATATAAATAA